GAAAAAGAAAATAAGATAATTTTAACAGAAATAGATGTTTGGTTTGATGCTTTCTAGCGATTGTATTATGTTATCTATTTTTCTAAATAAAACGTTAAATATTTTGAAACAATCCTTTGTGAACATATCAAAGAAAAAATTGGCTGCTACTAGCTGCAACTTTTTTTTTAAATATATTTTTTTCTCCTATGTATCGATTGAATAAAATAGATATTTCGGAAAAATGGCTACAAGGGGCCTATAAAGTTGAGAACAACGGGTATGTTTCAAATTTTGTAAGACAGAAATTTCAGAATAATGAACAAGGACTATCAGGTACAAAGAAAAAAAGATAAATCGCCTTTGTACAAATTTTGAAAGAAGATGGCAGGCGGCTTCGCGGCTTAAAAATTTATTTTTAAAACAAAATGAAGACTGGTTAAAGGAGGATTTTATCCTTGAGTTAAATGAACCCCCTCCATCCACATCATTTGCCGGCCGCCCACGATTACCTTTTTCGGAGCAATCTTCCAGAATTCAGAGAAGAACGGCCTCAAAAGTTTCCGAGGAACATAGGCAAGATTGGGCTTTACTTGTGCAGGCTGCTTTGTAAATTTAGTTATCCTGCCGATGTACTTAACCTACTGCTTGTACCTGACTTTATCAAAAAGAAGTTAAATGAAGAACAATTCGAAGAGAACCATGAAAAAGAAGATGATTACGAGGAGGAAGAGCAAGAAGAAAAAATGCAAAAAGAAGAAGAGCAAGAAGATATTTCTAAAGAAGATTGTTTTGAACAGCAGTAATTCGATGATTGATCAACTTTCTTTTTTGGAACTAGATACAGAAGATGCTTCATAGTTAAAAGTTAATCAGACGTTGAATGAGAAGATTAAAAATAACTTCATTTTATTAGAATTTTATTATTTTATTAAAGACACAAATTTATAGTCCATATTTTCCATTAAATGTAAGTTGTTTAATTTTGGCCAAAAAAGTAGCTTCTAAAAACCATAGTGCGGCGTGACGAATGGAAATTTTGTGGGGAAAATGGGGAAACGCCAGAATACCTCATCACCGACTGCGCCGAGACAACAACCATTCGTGACAGAAACTTTAGTACAACAGATCGCGGAGATCGAGAACTAACCTCTATAAACTAGTCTCAGATACTGGCTTTTGTCAAAGCCTGGAGACTGTATGGCTAGTTACACCCCAAGAAAGTGAGACACAATAAATCTATAACGTCCCGTTGATAAACTCTTTCCGAGATACCAATGCTAATTCCGAATTTGTAGTACCTTGTATATTTATACTCATAGAAAATTATACACTTACCGGTTGGACTTGGAGTCATCTGCTTCATGACGATATGCACCTGGATATCGTGAGACTTGAACATCTTCAGTTTTCTAGAAATCATACTCTTGGTCGTCGTGATAGCTTTGGTATAATCTCGAACACCAAAGGACTTGTATGGTACCACCATTCCAATATTTAGATGGACTATACCACCGTTCCTTTCTGAAGGCGAAGTAGGTGGATGAATGTGATCTTCTTCCGGTAGAATGGTTGTTGTGGTTGTTGTTGATCGTACTCCACGGTTGCTGCTTCCGATTTTGATGCCGTTACCTCTTGAAGATGATGCATTACGACCTAGAACAGAAAATTTCTTTATTTAGATTGTTTTATTTGATATCTTCAAATGTACCGTTTTAATACATAGTTATAGCTAGTGTTAAATACTGGCGTGTACCCGCGACTTCGTTCGCGTCAAATTAATAATTTGTAATAGTGATGATAAAGCAAAGCAAGAATTTCTATTAACATACAAACTGGATAAAATTTTCTCACATTTATGTCAGCATGATAAAAAACAATATGGCGATATTATTATATAACTTATAGGTAATATTTGAGGGGTAGTTTCATCTCGTTGAAATTTGACTTTCGAAAAATCCGTTTGCCAAAAATAAGCTTTTTACATCAAGCAGTTTAAGCAGAATCGTGGTTAATCAATTACCCAATTTTTTGGAACACCCTGTATGATTTTTTAAAAAAATTCAAAATATGTAAAAAAACAAAATAAATTATGCGTGTCCAAGCATTTTCCCGAAAGACTAATCGTTTTTTAAATAACAAATATTGTAATATTTAAGGGGCGTTTTCACCCTCTTGGTATTTGAGATTCGAGAAACCCCTCCTTATCAAACCTCTACAGTCTAAACCCCACAGTCAATCCCTTTGCCAAAAATCAGCTTTAAACATCAAGCAGTTTAAGCAGAATCGTGATTACTCAATGGTCATATTTTATGAAACACCCTGTATAAATTTTGAAAAAATCTTAAAATATGTAAAACAACAAAATAATAAAAAATATACGTGTTTAAGAGTTTTTCCGAAAAACTCAAAAGTTTTTAAATAAAAAAAATATTCTAATATTTGAGTGGTGGTTTCACCCCCTTAGAATTCGAGTTTCGAAAAATCCCTTCTTATCGAACCTCTACACCCTAAAGTCAATCCGTTTTCCAAAAATCAGCTTTTTACGTCAAGCGGTGATTAATCAATGACCAGATTTTTCGAAACACCCTGTATACATTTTTAAAAAATCTTAAAATATGTAAAAAGACAAAATAAAATATACATGTTTAAGGGTTTTTTCGGAAACTTGACCGTTTTTTAAATAAGAAATATTGTAATATTTGAGGGGTGGTTTCACCCCCTTGGAACTGGAATTTCGAAAAATCCCTTCTTATCGAACCTCTACACCCTAGAATCAACCTGTATGCCAAAATTGAGCATTTTACGTTGAGTGGTTTGAGCAGGATCGTGATTAATCAGTGAGTCACTTAAGGATTTTTTATATTAGTATAAATGACTGTAACTTTTCAATTGAATAGTTGGAATACTAGGAGGACCATTTTATGAAAAAAGTCGGTTGGCTTATGGAGTTCAAAAATATTTCTACTAAAATTTATGTAGGGGTGAGGGTAGTTTGCGTCCTTCCCGTACATTGTCTTCATTTTTGTGAAAATGAAATATTAAAGCACTTAGCAAAACATAGGTATCCCAAATCTCACTCAAACTGGAATAATGGTTCTTAATATCTCTTAAACATCATGTATTTATTTTTTTAAAGTTTGAAGACCTCTAACGGACAAATGAGGTAAACTGTTTCCAATGAACGTATTTTGATTCCAAAAGTACGTAGGTAGCAGTTCTATGTCCACGGAATATTCGGACATCCTGTATATCTGTAAATCCAAAACATTCAGTTTTAAGATACTCTGTATACATAAATCATTATTGATTTTTAAAATATTTGTACACAAATTAGAGAGGGAAATCGGAATTCTACCAGTAGACACGATAGGTGTTATATAATAGCTTTTAGACCACCGTTCAAGATGCGTTGATGTTATTTTGGTTTATTTGGATACCGAGACAAAAGAATAGTATTAAAGGTAAAGTAAATGTTTCCATTATTTATTTTTTTAACTAATGTTAACTAAAGCATAAATATATTTTATTTTCTTGTTGTAAAAATTATAAGGGAAAAACCTATACTGTTTCTTGAACATATATTATGTTTCTGCACTATTTATCGACACGACATGTTTATTTATCGAGCACAAACAGCGTTGTAAGGTTAAATAAACAATTACAGAAAGCGTACAGTAATTGAAATTAGCATGCTTGTCTAACTTGTGTACACATTTTCACGCTTGCTGAGTTTCGTGAAATAAAGCAGAGTAACATAAATAGGAAAGGTGTTAAAAAGGCAATTTGCAAATTGTTCCAAGGGATTTTTAATAGATATTTATGTTCTGAGTACCCTATATAGTAATGAGTATTGTTATATTATATATTTTTGTTTTTTTTTTCTTCATTTTAATGGATAACTCTATACCATTTTTTTATAAGAATAAAAATTACGAAAAAATCTGAGTGACTTCTCCAAAAACAAATATCTCCCAAAAAAATGAAGCTATTGAGATGAACTAAAGAAACAAACTATCCAGAAAGGATGTACCTAGATGAAAACATATTTTTTAAACTCCTTGCTTTGTTAATTCATATTCCACAGGGTGTTTCAAACTTTCACCAAAATATCAACTTTTTTTCTTGTATAATTGACAGATGGAAACTTTCATTTTTAATTTAAAAAGAGATACTAAAAAGTCAAATAATTTACCTACATATTGCTTAAAAAATCATCAAAATCGGTCCACTACAAGAAAATATATTAAAAATTTTAAGGTGGCGTTCCCATGCAGTTGGTTGTTAAAATAAAATTATCTTTTTTGTTTTCAAGTTTAAAATTTACTTCACACATCTAACGATTTTTATTCTTTTATCTTTTGAGTATATTGATTGTCCTTTTGGGAAACGTTCGAAAAATATTTCCCTACTTTTTAATCGCCATTTAACAACTGGGAATTCTTTGATTCTGTTCTATACAGCTTTTCTGCAGATTAAGTGGTGGCAGAACGTATCGAAACTGGTTTTACTAGAGTTCTTTTGGGAGCCATTCGTGTTCTGCTTCAATAAAACTCGTACGTGAAGATTGAACAGTAAAAATTGTTACCTATTGTTATACGAATTTAAAACCATAGTTGTACGAGTACACTCAAATGCAAAAAAACGCCACGGAACATTCTTTCATCAAGTTGTTAAAGATATTCATATATTTTTTTTTACTTTTAGCTCTATTCTCGTGATTTTTTTAACTGACTGTATACAGACCGGACCATCATAGTAGTACCATAGGCAGAACCGGACGTATTAACGTATACCCGTCCGCCGGATAAAAAGCAGGCGAAAAAATGCGATAAAATAAAAATAGGTTGATATGTGATAAGAATGTTTCAGAATTTGTATTTATTCCTGTTTTAATAGCCAAAACGAATACATAGATTCTCGCGACAGTTCTCGTGTAAAATTTATTTTTTAAGTAAAATAATGGATGTTTACGAAGTTTGTGAGAAAATTCAAATTGTAAAATGGTTTGGTTTGGCATCATGGTAAGCTTCGATGTGGTATCTCTATTCACGAGAGTACCCCTAGGCGAGTCAATGGATCTAATCAAGGAATCATTCCCACCTGACATCGCGGAGCTCTTCCGAGTGTGTCTGACTGGTAGCTATTTCTTATGGAACGGCAATTACTACGAACAAACAGAAGGTGTCGCAATGGGTAGCCCAATCAGCCCAATAATTGCTAATTTCTTTATGGAGAGATTTGAAGAAAAAGCGCTAGAGTCATCCGTTCTGAAGCCCGCTGTATGGTTTCGTTATGTGGACGATACATTTGTGGTTTGGAAACATGGACGTGACAGCCTAGATGACTTCCTTCATCACCTTAATTCGCAGAGCCCGAGCATAAAATTTACCATGGAAACCGAAGTAAACAACCAACTGGCCTTCCTCGATGTGCTTGTCAAGAGAAATGGCGACCTTTTGGATCACACCGTGTATCGAAAACCCACTCATACAGACCGGTACTTACACAAACTATCAAATCACCATCCAAGCCAAAAACAGGGGATTATCGGAACATTAGCAAATAGGGCAAGACATATCTGTGCTAATGAACACATCCAAGAGGAACTAAGTCATTTAAATAAAGCCTTTCTTGCCAATGGCTATAATGACAGAGAAATAAAGGCGGCGCTGGCACCTAGGCAGAGGAGACCTGACGCCAATGAACAGGAAAACATCATTAATAAGGCCTTCCTTCCATATGTTTCCCAGGTCACCGATAGGATTGGTAAAGTTCTCAAGAAGCATAACATCAAAACCATATACAAACCTACCCGAAAAATAAGGGACTGCTTAAGACCAGCAAAAGACAAAAGAGAACCATTATCCTCTGCAGGGATCTACCGTATACCTTGTTCCTGCGGTAGCGTATATATTGGAATTACCAAACGCTCAGTAGAAACGAGACTTACGGAACACAAGAGAAACTGCAGATTAGGGTAAACAGAGAAGTCAGCCGTAGCAGAACATGCTCTAAGAGATGGTGACCACAAAATCCAATTCAAAGACACCCAAAGTCATTGCCACAACATCTGGATATCATCCTCGTCTGGTCAGAGAAGCTGTTGAAATTCACAAACATCCAAATAATTTCAACAGGAAGGAAGAAACGTTCTACCTTAACAGAATTTGGCATCCAGCTATATCTAGGACCAAAGTAGCAGCACAGAGAAGTAGACCAGTTCCGGAAGAACTACCACCCGAACAAGCCACGCGCCCTCCGCCGACGCATAAATACGCGCTACGCCGACGCGGAGGCATCAGTCTAGTGTGAGCAATCGGAGCAAACACACCTCTGAAGATGCTAGCCACTCGTGCTAGCGAAACGTTAGGAAGCAATTCTAACCGACGACGGCCTAATAACCCGAAAAACCAAAATTCTTCAAACGATGGCCGCGAAAGCCTAAACTACTACATGTAAAATGGTATTTCGAAAATAGGTCTTTTCGGAATATACAAACAATTTTTCCACAAACTTTTGTAAACAGGCCAATTCCATCTTTACCTACTATATCAAGAGTTATTAATAATTTTGAAACACATGGGTGCGTGTCCCCACAAAAACACAAAAAAATTTATGAAGAACAGGAGTTAAAGTGTTCATTTGTGCTACCGCGGATCAAAATCCCACGTTTTCAACTAATCAAATTGCTGAGGTGGTTGCCTTGCCCACAATGCCCGTATTGTTCAAGAATATTTGAACAATACTTTTCCCAACCGTTTAATTAGTGGACATGGAACTATTTTGTGGCCCGCTAGATCACCAGATCTTTCTCCCAATGATTTCTTTTGGTGGGGTTATGTAAAATTCAAAGTGTATGGTCATAATAGGCCTAATAATCTGGATGAGCTTCAAGTAAAGATACGAGAGGTTTTCCAAACTATTAGCCCTAATATGTTAGCCAATGTCAGACGGGGATTTTACGACCGCCTAGGCTTCTGTCTAGCACAAGAAGATGGTCTTTTCGAACACTTGTTATAACTTTTTTTTATTTAGAGTGATATTATAGTTTTTTTTTGGGGTTTAGAGAATTTATTTATTTTTAATTTTGGCGCTTGTAAACAAACTCAAATAATAAATATTTATGTATTTTTATTTTAAATGTTACCTTAAGTGAAGGTAAACACTTAAAATGAAAATAATAAATACTCGGCACTCCTCGCGTCGTATTCCTAGTCTGTCACGACCGACCCGTCCAAGCACAACTGCAACTGCGTACTGCCTGACCAGTCGACTAGCCGGCAGTGAATCTCGAGTACGAACGCAAATCGGGTAAACGTAAATTCGTCCGGCAACTTGCTATGTTACTAGTAGCCTGGTCCTCTCTGTATAAATCTATCAACTTTAATTCATATACTCAGTTTTTTATAAATTTTGATAGTTGCCTGATTATAGAGGGTTAATTGAAGGGTTGTTTTTTATCCTAACTTTAATACACCCTGTGCAATAATTTCGTGAGTGACTTTACCTAAAACATTATTTTTCTGTCAGAACCATATCTCCTGAGCATTTTGCTTTTTGACTCATATCAACATATACCTTGGTTAATTTTTAAGAGCGAAATGAACTTGCTACCAACAATTTTTTCAATTTTTTCAACTATCATTACTTTAAGATGTTTTTTTAATATCAAGAGGGGGCTTTTGTGGCTATTGTTGTAATGTCATATCGATACTGATTAGAACTCTATAGTAAAATTTGTAACTAACTGTAATAACCCTAGATCATACTAAGGGCTGGCAAAGGTTAGTCTTGGGTCGAGATTTCCGTATGTAAGAAGAGTACAATGGCGTTTATAATGTACTGAACAAAGAGAGGACAGTAAACACGTTACCAAACGTGAGAAACTGTGCACATCGCTAAGAGACGTGGAAGGGGATATAGCAGATTTGTCTCAGTTGACCGGTCGACCCAATCAATACCTCTCTCAGTACTTAAAGTTCTAGGGAAAGGTGTACGTCATGCGTTCAGCTTGAATTATTAAAACTAAAAACACGGTATGTCGCCAGTGGTAGGAAAAATAATTTTTAGAGGTTACTAGTTTATTTGGTTGCCTGTGATATACAGGGTGTTTCCTAATTAATCTAAAAAATAAAAAATCGTTAGAAGACGGCTTAAGGTGGGCTCTTAATAAGTATATTTATTTTTTTCTGAGCAACCGTTTGATGAACAAGAAAAACTCAAAAGATCAATTTTGTTGAAAAAGGATGGCCAGTCAAGAAAAAAATATATTTTCTTTAAAAAAGCAGTAGTCTACCATTTATGTTAAGCAAAATATCAATTTTTTTAATTTTTAACACCCTGTAAGGTGTACGGTACTTTAGACCCAATGGTTATATAAAAATTGTTTTAAGAACACATGAGGAATCACGCCACAATTTTTTTGACTAATTAGAAAACACCTTGTATATTGTCAACTTGACAATGATTGCTGATAAATCAAAAAATACCTTTTCAGTGAAAAAATCCAAAAATTTTGCTTTTTATTGAATTTGGGCCTGCGTCTGCAAATACCGGTATGTTTTTTAATATTCTATCTATCTAAATTTTAAATATCATAGCCAGAAATAGTTTTATTATTTATTAACTGTAAAAATGGTATACTTATAAGTTTTATCAAATATTGTGATTTACTTTCTACCTTGTAGTCAAAATTTGTATTTAATAAACTGTAAAATATATATATTCTTATGTTTTATTAAAGTTACTCTGATATACTAATATATCAGTGTAACTTTAAAAATAAATTCTTTGAAATCAAATATAAACATAAAAAATATTTACAGCAGAAAAGGCGAAGGCGCTGGGTTAAACGTAGTCTCTACTAAGAACACGGAGGGGCGCTTTGACCCAAAACTTTACTATTAAGTTTCATATCTATGTTAATAGAATATTATTTTCTTTTATCTATGATTATGATCTAGAGTAATAACTAAGTGTACAAACAAATATAAAACTTGTAAAAAATACTCTAATACTTTCCCCCTGCTGCTGTTACTGTGTGTATTAGGTTAGGTTAGGTTAGTAGTAGTAGTAATAGTAGGTAATAGTTAGTTAGTAGTAGCAGTAATAAATAATTATTACTCTATTTACTCGGTCTTACTTAGACACAAATAAATCTGGTTTGAAACCATTAAAACCAAGTATGATAACTCAATAAATTGGCTGTTTTTACAGCAATTTTAGCGTCTAGTTAACTCACCATAATTCGTTATTATAACGACCCAGTAAACTTGAAGGTCGTTAAGACTCGGACCGTTGTTAACAAGGATTTTACAGTCTCCAAAATGCAATCTATTCAGCAAGGGGAATATTAAGGAATTACAATGCCACGCCCAAACAATATCCGCTGTCCAATCTTAATGAAAATGCCTTACAGAGCAGAGAAGGTATTATGTTAATTAACTAACAATTAATAGGGATATTCTAATAGATGCCAATATATTTAAATAATTAATTAAATATTTGTAGAAATTTAAAACTGATCTAAAAATGCAAATTGTTTCACTCTACAATTTCCTGTCACAATGTACCGTTTGTGTCCGGGAAGGGTTCATAGTTTCATAGTTGATTTTGGTTAAAGAAATCAGTACATGTATATTATTTCGTATATTTTTCATTTTATGGAAAGCACTGTTCATTAAAATGTTGTATCCTATGTTATAGGGCTTGTTTCTCTCTACAATTTCCTGTCTGACAATGTATTATATGTGTCGGGGAAGGGATCATAGTTTCACAGTTGTCGATTTTCGAAAGAAATCAGTACATGTATATTATTTCGTATATTTTTCATTTTATTGATTTTTGGAAAGCACTGTTCATTAAAATGTTATATCCTATGTTATAGGGCTTGTTTCTCTCTACAATTCGCTGTCTCACAATATACCGTTTGTGTCAGGGAAAAATCATAGTTTCATAGTTGTCGATTTTCGAAAGAAATCATAGAGTAGGTACATGTATATTATTTCGTATATTTTTCATTTTATTCATTTTATGGAAAGCACTGTTCATTAAAATATATGAATAATATTCATGAGAGTGTAATAAAACTATTTAAAACTTTAACCTTTTGATGTTGAAGGCGTTTGTATATCCACAGATGCAATTCTGTTTTCAATTCAAAAACAAACTAGTATTTTCTCGACGACCAGGTCCAAATTTAATAAAAATATTTGTTTACTATTTCTTACTGCAAGTTGACAATTATGTCAAATACATTTAAAAAACATTATAGTGTTTTTTGGGATAGCTGTGTGTAATAGAAAAGGTAAGTACGATTCTTTCATAACCTTCTTTATACCATATGAGCAAAAAAAACAGCGTCCAAGACAATAGTCCAAGTAACGATAATCGATGATAATTTTGGCGACAGACTTTTTTTAAGATATAAAACCCCCACAAAGTTTCAGATATTTGTTAAAATAATAGTCTTCACGAATTCACAAAACTACTCAAAAAATGTAATTGTACAGCATACAATATCTGAGGTCAACTATTTACATAGTAAATGTTAATTTTCTACATAGGTCATTCATGTTGAACCAACATTTATTGCAAGGAAATGTAAATCGAATCCATGAAAATTATGCCACTTGGCAAAATGGCGTCGGTTTGGTCGCTAGCAAGACATCTAAACGACCTCATGGGAATACGGTAATAAAAGTAAAGAATTTTTATGCATTTCAGTTGTTTCGCGCATTTTTATTGTTATTATTCTCAGTTGTACAGTCAGTAGGTTTATAGTTCGGTGCATTATTCTGGTATTCTACACAGGGTGAGTCTTTAATAAGTGCAAATATTTTTAGAGGTAACATATTTCGACTCCTGAAACACTAATATGAGGTTTTTTCGATTGAAAATTTGGAATTTTTGAAAAAAACATAGTTTTTGGTTAAAGAATATAATTGATAAGTTGATAAGTTGGCAATATACGTAGTAGATT